GTGTATAAAACTCATTGAAATGAAAATGGATGTAAACTGATGTCTCTGCGAGTGAAATCTGTGCGTTAGTTTCCATCAGTTTTTGTGCACGTATGGTGTGAACGATGCATAAATCACAGGACTGAATAACAAAAATACAAACCATTTGGCAAGTACAACAGCTCATTTATATGTATTTTATCCCTGTAAGCCTGGAGTTCAAAAAGCTGTATGAAATGTATTTTGGGCATGCACCACAGTAGAGTAAAAATGATAATGGTGATATTAAATACTTATATTTGTTAGAGTGTAAATAATTATGCATATATTTTGTCTCTTTTTTATTATAGTCAGGACTAGAAAACAAAATATTTTTTACAAATATATATTTCTTCAGAATATCTTGTACTTTAATTTCTAGACAACAGGTGGTGCTCTTGAGTCCTTCCCATGTTCTTCAGGTACTCTTTAGGGCCTGTTTCCATGGGGTTAGGGCTTTTGTTCGCATCAATTTAATATAATATAAAGTTTAGATGCTTTTGATATTGTTCAGAACTTTCAAGTGCATTTGAATTGCAGTTGACCTTCTGACCTGTATTTGACCTGCTAGCGGGTTTTACATTCCTATAGAATTGTATGGGAATGCAAAACCCTTCTGATGCTAACAAAGCCCATCAACACAAGCCTTTATACAGTTTGCACACAATAGAACAAATAAGAACCAATGCTCACCCCCTCCCCCTGCCTGCTCAGAGGATGCCATAGGTTTATCCAGTCAGAGAGAGAGAGAATGAAAGAAAGCAGCTTCCGCTGTGCTCTTGCTTTAGAAAACCTATAGTACTATTTTAATTCTGTGTCATAGGCTGACCCTGTGTAAAAAAAAATTATATTAACCCCCCTGGTGGTATTCCCAAGTGTATAGCTCGGGGTTAACATTCAATACCACAAGCGGTAACCCTGAGCTACACTCGGGATTACACTGCAGCGTTGCTCTGGGATCCCTGGATCACTTACCTTGTCCTGCGGTCCCACGATGTCCCCCCCTGCAGTGTCCCCGGCCATGTCCTCCGGCCGATGCCGGCATCCGTCTTCCGGGTTCCGTTCCCTGCGAGCATAGGGATGTACAGGGGACAGAACCGGCGGGAATTTAAAAAATTCAAAAATTTGACATTCACTCAATACACAAAAATCTGATAGTATTACATTACTGTATCAAACCATTTCACATACATTTTGTCCCGAGTGCTTTGTCCTGTGCCCTGCCTGCATTTTTACCGTCCTTTCGGCCTGGAAACTGAGAAACGTCCATGGAATCCAAAAAGCGTCCCTTTAGGCCAAAATCGGTTTTAGACCAGCTAGAGAACAGCGATAGTAAATTAGAACCACTTGCAGAATTGAGTGATAATGATTCGTGGAGAAATTCGTCATCAGACACTGAAACCGTTTTTTTTGCGACTAAGCTCAGTGATGTGCTAATTTGGGGCTCTATTTCAAATTTTAGTGTTTTTGGTTTTATTACATTATTTAATTAAATGTATTATTATTCTTTTTTATGATTATTTATTATATTATAATTTATGATTTCATGTTTAAAATTTTATCATACCCGGGATGTTTACTAGAATCTTGTTCAGACATATTTCAGTGAGTTATTCCTAAGAATTACAGGCCTACAATAAAAAAACAACATATTTCCATTGAAAACAGTGTACCGCTTTGAGCACAGAAATACTGACATAATCAGAACACCAAGGAGGTTAATAGTACAAAATGTATCTGTTTAAAATGTATACAAATTAGATACAATGGACAAAACTCTTATAGTTTCCCTTTAGATTAGCTGAAATTCACTTTATGAAGTATCTATCCTTCAAATCCTTCTAATAAATAATCTCTCTCTATGCTTTTTGCACATGTGCTTATTACTTCAGAATTCGGTCCATACATGATGTGTTCACATGTACTGACACGTTGTATGTAGTACAAAGCAACTGAGCACACAGTAGCCTCTATTCACAACAGTGGAAAGCACACTGTATTTTTATTACCATGCCTTATTTGCCTTTTTTCAGTCCACTAAAGGCATAATTGCATGGATCAGGTGAAGTTTCCACATGAATAGTTTTTTTTTTTTTTTTTACTGTAAAAGTCTAATTCATCTACAACATAATCGCATGAGTTATCATTCCTTAAAGCTGAACTCCTCTTCAACGCTCAAGGTTGTTGGCAGACCATGGCATTATGACAAAGCAGGACTACTGGTCCTGCATTGTACTTAATGATGTCCAGTCTGTGACCACCACCAAACTAAATACATGTTCAGAAATGTTAAAAACCATTTATATAATTTGCTGCTCCTTAAATGGTACATACCAATATGCAAAAGGTGCAGTGTTGTCAACCTTCTGTATTTTTACTGGCAGCCAGTAAAAAATTGGCACTTTTCTCCTGCCAGTATATTCCAGTGACAGGAAAAGGTTGCCAGTTAAAAATATGGCTATGACACTTGGCTCAAAAGTGTGCATGCACAGTTCCAGTCCAGAGCTTAAACCATCCCAGTGTTCAGGTGCCACTGGTGGGGGGGCAGGTCTGGCGGAGGCGGTGCCTAAGCATATCGAGTGACGTCATGGTGCAAGGGAGCTGAGTGGAGAGGTCAGAGCCGGGTGTGCGGGTCTGCGGGATGGGAGCAAGGCAAGCCAGCAGCAGGACTGTTAGTGCTGTTTGGATTGCAGATGACTGAAGGGACCACCTGGCATGGAGAGAGACTGGCACTGTGACTTAGGAGAGGAGGTGTCATGTTGGTGAGGTGTCATTATCATCATCTGGGCTGCTGCACACTACTGTCAGTGTCACAGTGATATTCAATTTATGTGTGTGTGTGTGTGTGTGTGCCTGCCCATTCTAATTTCTTGCCCTCCTGAGTCCTGTCCCTGAGCTACTCACTTACTGTATTGAAAATAAAATAATAAATATGTTTGTTTGCCTTATATCTACCTTAAATCATATTGCTAACTGCATGTTGTACTTGTTTGTAGACTAAATACTGAAATTTGCACTTAAAACTGTATTTTTCTAACTTTTAGAAATGACAGTAAAAAACTTGGCTGCCAGTAAAATTTGGGTGTCCTGTCAGTGAATTTCAATGTGGTAGGCTGGCAACACTGAAAAGGGGCTCCATCCAAAACTAAAAGTCCAAATTATACATAATAAAAATGATGTAGACACACACAGTATATTGTAGAGGGAACAACCCATACCATCACTGTTACATTTCAGGCTTCAAATGATGTCTACAACCTATAGGTAAATGAAAACTCATCACCACCATTAGACCTTCAGGGAATTAAGACTAAAAGCTATAATCCATGTAGGCTTGAATCCAGACTGCTGTTTGTCCAAGAACTACCAGCTATGAGATACTCCATCCAGACTTACGCAGTCCATAGATTAGGTTTTTTTTTTTGTTCGACCTGCTGGTTGAATGAAAAAAGCTTACACCCCTATTCCTCCATCCACACAGTAAAGATGGATGGGGGAATCCTCCTCACTGTGTCATTATATTCTGACAGTGGGGAGATGCCCACTGTCAGAATATTCTTGTCACATTGCAGGCTATAGCCTGCAGTGCTGATTGAGTGGGGAAAATCCAACAAGGTGGTTGTACAGAAGTTGATTATTAGATCGACTTCTAGACAACCACAGTGCCCCCCACACTTGGATTGAAGTTCGTCTTGTCCTTGCTGAACTGTCCGAATTTCAAACCATATACCCTGCTGAACTGGCCCAATGGTTCCCTGCTGAACATGCCAAATTATGATCCATTAAAGGCTGGCTTTAGTCCCACATTCAGTTCACTGTCTCAGCTGCAAAAATCTCCATAGGATCCCTGGCCTCATGTGCAGCCATTAGTCTTTGAAAGACAGATGTAGAAAAAACGGAACTTGTGTAGAGACGAGAATAACCAGCAAAATTAAATGTATAGGTAGCTTGTTTTTGATCCATAAACAACAAACAATGACTGTACGTGTGACCAGGAATCCTTTGGAGATACCTAGACCTAAGAAGTGAGCTGACATCATCTCACAGAGTTTGTGGTTCTTGTACATACAGGTTCTTGTCTGATATGAAGAGTGATGTTGTGAATGGTTCCCTCTAAACATTTCACAATCATCATCATGTCATCAAAAACTTTTTATATATTAATTTTGGCATTTTAGTCTTGGGTGGAGCACCTTTTTTATATTGGTCTCTTTCCAACTCTCATTTGCCTTATAGCTTTTGTTGTACATACGCACATTTTTTGTGTTGTATGATACACTTGGCGCTGGAGTTTTGAGTTATTGAAGTACATTTTACCAGTGTACTGTACAACCGCTTGTGATATTTAGGATTTGTTAGTGTTTATTTATTTGTAAATGTTCTATTACTAGCGCAAGGACTGGTACATGTATTTTATACCATACGAGCCATGTTTTGCAGAACAACCTGTGTGGCCCATACATGCTGCTGGCTGATGTGGGATGGTCATCTTTCCACATAAGAACAACATACCAGCCTGAATCCTGTCTGAAAATCCATGCTTTATCTATTACTTGTGCTTTATTTCTCTGAAGAATATATCATTAGCAGTGTGCAATGCTCCTCTGAAGCTGTAATTCTCCAGAATCTTCTCTCATCACTATCTCAGATCACTCTCCTCCTATCATTGCCAGTCTGCCCACCAGTGAATGCTGGTTGCTTCTCTCTTTCCATAAACAGAAAACACAAGCAAACTGTGGGATATTATGAAAAGGTCTACATAAGGTCAGCCTGATCTCTGTTTCTCACCAGAATCTCTAGGATTAACCTCACCGCCTGTTTATTATAGAGCAATGTATGAATATATCTTAATTTACCCAAATGGACTCCGCTGTATTTTGACCTTTAGAGACTGCCAAGAAACTGTACAATTTATTGCGTACAATAAACATGGTGACATTCAGGAGATTGCTGATATAAAGAATCGGATGAGGTTACCATACCTGAGCACCTGACTCCCTGAGCAATAAGGCCCCACATGAAGTTAGCACAATATTCACACCAGTGTGGCCCCCGAAATGTGTGTACCTGGAAGAGAGACAAGACATGGTCAGGAGATAGATGGCCAAGACACAAAATGCTGCATTATAATACATGCCATTGAAAGATCCTAAATTTGACATTTAAAACTCGTAAAATAACAGTCTGTATTCCTAGCTTTTTTCTTTACCATCAAGGTTAACTCTAGGAGCAATATCTAAATATCAAATCACTCCAGATTCAATAAAAAATATCATATAATAGCTGATGGTTTTTGAGGGGAAGCAATTCAGCACAAGATGTGTTTTGCAAACTGCAAAGAGACTTTCTGAAAACTTTGTGCCCAGCCAATGGTATTTTTTACTACGTTTGCAAAAAGGGAGTATTCCTGTTTAGATCTGAAATATTAACTAGTAATTACAGTGAACCTTTTCTGAATGAAAAACAATTTCATAATTCCCCCCCATCCTTTCTCCCAAGCAACCCCCCCCCCCCCAATCCCCTCTCCTAGCCCAAATTCACCCCCAATCCCCCTACCTAGTAATAATTGCCACCCAATCCCCCCTCCTCACACAAATCCCCCCCCCAATCCCCTCTTTCAGCACCAATCCTCTTCCTTCCATCCCCCCACCTAGGACAAATTCCCCCAAATCCCTCCTCTAGCTAAAACCCCTTCAAAATGACCCTTCCCAGCATAAAATCCTCCCACCTTACCCTAAACCTCCCCTTTTAGTACAAGTCCCCCCCCTCCTCCCAAGCCTTCCTGCTTGCACAAATGTGCTGCTCCTAGCACATATTTCCCATTCCTTCTCCTAGCACAAATCACCCCCGCCATTACCCTTTCCAGCACAATTACCTCCCATCCCCCCTTCTGCACAAACCTCCCATCACAGCACATATGATTGTTACTCCTCCCTCTACTTTTTATTGTGTACAGTTCCCCCGGCCTGTAAGCACCCCCCCCCCCCCCCCCCAAGCTTACAGGCGGGAAACCAGGTGGGGGTTGTTCTATGCTCTCACTCATCAGTGGAGTGATCCTCCATGCAGCAGATGACACAGGATTGCTCTTTGATTGGCTGCATACAGTTACATTACCCTGTCCTCCAATGACCGCTCATCTCATCTCCGGTAGCAAGGAGCCAGGGAACAAATCAAATACTGAACATGCCTGTGTCATCTGCTTTATGGAGAATAGCTCCACTAACATGAAAGGAGAGCACAGTCTGCACCTCCCAGCTCTCTCCTGTCATTTCTCCTTTGCGGGCATCACTACTCTAGGCTGCTCTCCCCCCTTGTCCCAACCGTGAGTGTGGGGACGAGGGAAGACACTCAGCGGCCAGGCACAGTGTCCATGGAAAGACCCGCCAAAAATCTGGGGGAGGTGGGTGCATTTATTATTTTTGTCCAAAGGAGCCTGGAAAGCATTGCACCAGTGATCAGTAGATCGCTGATGCAATGCAGGTCTCCTGCAGACCTGTTAGAATATCTGCTGTACGGGATGTATGAGCAAGCAGATATCTGACAGGAAGCTCAAATGAACTACCACGGCGCTCCACAGACTGTGGTAGCTCATTGAAAACTACAAGCTCACAGCTGCTAAGGCTGTCGGGACGTGCAGTTCATTCATTCACGGAAGTACGTACATGAATGATGCAGCTGTGTGGGGCGGATCCCCATACGGCCATACTGTTTTCAAATCTGACAGATAGTACAGGGAAACTTCTCCCCATATTATCTGTCACAGGGAGGGGGGGTGGCTTGTGTGGCTGCAGCTATGGGAACATGTTACATGTTTCACACTAAAAACGGGTGGAAGTGGAACATGTAACATGTTCCCAAAGGCGAACTTATCCTTCAAATTAGAAGTATGGGTTTGTAACAAATAAACATCCATACTCACCTCTATACTGCAACATCAGTGAGATGCTACAGCTGTCCCATGTCGGCTCTAACACCGAGAACTGCGTGATCACATGACTACAGTTCCCAGTCTGCTTGGAGCAGGGATCCATGACAGTCAGTCACTTCTCTCCACTCTGCCCCTCCAGTGCTTACTGGAGAACCAGGCTGGAGGGGGGTTAGCGCAGCTAAGCACTGGGTCTCAGCCACAAGCGGAGAGGAGAAACCAGCTGTCAATCAGGCAGCCTGGGGGATACCAGCAATATTGTAAGAATCCTTTCAAAGCCTGGATTGGCACTGACAAAAAGGATATGTCAAAAGAGAAGAAAGCTATCACTGATATGTTGATAAGATGCATGAAAGGTCTAGTAAATGCACCTTTAAAGTTAAGTCAGCTATGGTAGCTCATATAGGTCGTCCTGACAGGTCCTGACCTTCTAAAAATCACAAACTATTGATCATTAATCTGATATTAAGTTCCAAGGAGCAGGGCCCTCCTATCCCTCTTGTATTGAACTGTAGTGTTGCTGTATTGTTTCCTGTTCTATTGTAAAGCACTGAGCAAACTGTTGGTGCTATATAAATCCTGTATAATAATAATAATAATATTAACTGCGGTTTAAAGGTAAAGTCTGATATATTATTATTTCTATCACAGTTTTGTCCTTTATGTAGTGGTATGAAATAATAAAGTAAGTTAGATCTGAAGCCGTACATATAGAATATACTATACCACAGCACAACAAAAATGAAGGATTGTGGGAACATAAAAGGAAGATTTCTGTCAATCAACATACGATGCCTCAACATACGTAAGGGATGAAAACTGCTTTAGAAACAAGTAATTTTCAATGTTGTATTTTAAGCAACCTGTGCGTCAGATGTAGAACAAGGCCCAGATAATCATGACTTTTAAAAACCAGACCTAGGGATAAAGACCAATAAAATCAAATGACTATATCACTGCAAGCATTTGTGTAGCTTCAGCATTTCAGCGGCCCAGTTTGAAAATACTAAACATACACTTATGTGGCCAGCATCAAAGATAATTGCTCCTCTACAGCTAAAACATTTCAGAAAATGATGATTATGGGGTTTATTCCTGTGGCATAAAAATATGGTTTTATATAACGGTTTAGTATAAATGGATTAGAGTTTATACCAGGGAATGACAGGAGGAATATACGTTCTGGAGATGAAGAAAGTTTTAGAACTTGTGGCAGTGCGGTATCCTGCCATGGTGGAAATCATGATGGAGACACAGGATTCTCAACTAAACAGGTTGAGGGGCTCCAGGCAGTTCTCACAATGCAGAGGAAACTGATTTATAAGTTTCCTCTTTGGTTTGTAAAGCCTGTTTTGGGACCTGTAGCCTGGAGATTTCTTAGAGATTTGGGAGGGATGAAATCTCCAATCCTGGGCCCATATTTTGGGAGCAGCCAGCGTGCTGATTGCACAGGTGTGTGCAGGCCTTTTAGTGGAGGCCAGGCCATGATTCTGGGCTCCACCCCGGCAGTTAGGAGGACTCCACCCAGGCAGACGGGAGGTCTCTGCCGTGGAGTCAGGTGGGCTACACCTAGGAGAGGTGGAAGCCGGACTAGCTGTGTGCTAGTGCCATACTTTGGGAAGAGTCTGCAGGAGGCAGACTTAAAACTGCGTACAAGCCAGGAGGCTGAATACTGTTCATTTGAATTCGTGTGATGGTGGATACCCCTGCGTGGGAAGCATTTGTGTTTTCTTGAACTTTCTTAAATAAAAGTGGGTAAAAAAGCCCTGAAAAATAAGCGAGTTGCCGTGTGCTTTGAAGAAGCTCTACCACTTGAAGCGAGGTCCCACAAACTGTATATAAATCTCATGAGATGGAGTGGCTTCAAGAGGGAACTTCAACAGCCAGGTGCAATGTAGTTCTAAGGTTGCAAAAATGCATTTTGTACATGAAAAAAATAGAGTGGAATTACACGTACATGTAGAACTAAAAGCTTATACTATGCTGTTTTTAAAGGGACATTTAATTAAAAATATGCTCCCATGTCTTTCCTTTCCTTTAATGACACTGACAATTTTTATATTTTATAAATTACAAATACTTTAAATATTTTCCTACAGCTGCTGGCCTCTCACTTCTGCTTTCCTTGCATACATGAGAGTGACAAGCGAATTTCCTGCCCGCAGCCTCTTATGATTTTTGACACGGATAACACAGGAGGTTGAAGGTGGAAGATAAGCATGTCACTCTCACCTAGTATTGCCACTATAGAGAATAACACGGTTCCAAAACTCCTTCTGCACAAGATCTGTTTTTACATTATCAGGCAGTTGACTGCAAGAACCAGGAAGAGACATCCAACAAAAGAACAAAACGGTAGCATGGAAAGAGACATGCACCACTGCAACTGTGAAGGGGACATCACTGGGCTCTTGGGACTTCTAAGCATGTTTATTCTTCATAGTATAGGGGAACATATATCATAGCAGAACCACTAACCCTGAACAAGTCAGTGATGGAAAGTCATAACTCTGCATACACTATATTTGCAAAAGTATTGGGACGCCTGCCTTTACACGCATATGAACATTAATGGCATCCCAGTCTTAGTCCGTAGGGTTCAATCTTGAGTTGGCCCACTCTTTGCAGCTACATCAGCGCAGCTCTTCTGGGAAGTCTGTCCACAAGGTTTAGGAGTGTGTCTATGAGAATGTTTGACCATTCTCCCAGAAGCGAGGTGTGTGAGGTCAGGCACTGATGTCATATGAGAAGGCCTGGCTCGCAGTCTCCACTGCAATCCATCCCAAAGGTGTTCTATCAGGTTGAGGTCAGGACTCTGTTCAGGCCAGTCAAGTTCCTCTACCCCAAATTTGTTCATCCATGTCCTTATGGACCTTGCTTTGTTCACTGGTGTGCAGTCATGTTGGAAAGGAAGGGGCCATCCCCAAACTGTTCCCACAAAGTTGGGAGCATGAAATTGTCCAAAATGTCTTGGTATGCTGACGCCTTAAGAGTTCCCTTCACTGGAACTAAGGGGTCATGCCTGAAAAACAACTCCACACCATAATCCCCCTCTACCAAACTTTACATTTGGCACAATGCAGTCAGGCAAGCA